TCACATTCCCCACCAGCCCCTCCTTGTTGGTGAGAACAAGGTCCAGCATAGCATCTCTCCTCGTTGGCTCCTCTATCACTTGGAGAAGGAAGTTATCATCGATGCATTCCAGGAACCTCCCAGATTGCTTATGCCCTGCCATGTTGTCCCTCCAACAGATATCAGGGTGGTTGAAGTGCCCCATGAGGACCAGGGCTTGTGAGCGTGAGGCTGCTCCTATCTGTCTATAGAGGGCCTCATCCGCTCAGTCTTCCTGGTCGGGTGGCCTGTAGCAGACCCCCACTATAATGTCACCTGTCCCTGCCCTCCCTTTAATCCTGACCCGTAAGCTGCCAGTCGGCTCCTCATCCATCCCCAGGCAGAGCTCCATGCACTCCAGCTGGTCATGGACAGAGGGCAACACCCCCTCCTTGTCTCCCCTGCATGTCCTTCCTAAAGAGCCCGTATCCTACCATTCCATACCATAATTGTTATCATAATTGTTAGTATGCTACCAAACATAGTCATGACAGGTAGATAAAGATTACCTGTTGAAATGTCTTTCTCAGCTAGTTCATATTGCTTCAATCCATTATAGAAATTTGCCCTGTTAAAATACACTGCTGCAGAGAATGGGCAGAGACAAATTGCCTTCTCAAAGTCTTCTTTTGCTTCTTCGATATTGTTTAGTAATGTATTTGTGATAGCACGATTCATAACAGCAGATTCATTTCTTGGGTCAAGTTGTAATACCTTGGAATAATAGCAATAGGCCTACAAAACACATGAATTGGAGACAAAGTACACTGTTAAAATGTGAGGAAATGGCTTACGTACAACTTGTAAATTCCAGTTTGTTTCTTTAAGCCATTAGTATTCTTAAGTCTTTACTCGTTCTGTTCAGCATTCTTTATGTACAGAAAAGAGACACAGCACTAGCATGTTTATCCACAAACAGGTCAGTCACCACCCAGACAGGCTTTTGGAAAATAACAGCTGTTTATGCTGAATTGTAATTATAGCAGAAGAAATAAGCTACATACTAAGGCAAATTTGAATTAACACAGAAGATAGTTTGTAATGCAACACCTATTCTTGAACTTCTCTCTTCATAATTAGACTGCCTCTGTGAGACAGTAAGGAGTCACAGAAACACAGTAAAGAGGAAGAACAGCCTATGCAAGACCAGTCATGGAAAAATACCACCAGATGCATAAGAAAAGAGACTACATGATCACAGAAGCAGCCATATGCAGGGTACTGACCTTGGACTCCTAAGGAATTTCTGATCCAAGTCTAACTAATGCTCAAGAGCAACAAGGAATCTAACTTAGAGAAACATATAAGAACATTAAATGTTTTTCTTATGTGATCTAATTCTTGTGCTATATGAATTACAATCTAGGTTTAAAATCATATGCCAAGCCTGTACTATACATGATGAATTCCTTAATAAGTGTACTGCAAGCTGAAGTGTTTACAGATGCAACTCTAGGAGAGAATTAATTCAAGTAGATGAAATGTGCAGAAGCATCCATGCTGGTTCTGGGTTTCCACAGCTGCTGGATCACAAAGCTCCAATCAAATAAAAGCCTGAGCCTATGTCCAGGAAGCGTGACTGGAAGATGAAAGGAAAAATCATTGCAGGGGCCTCCTCACACAGAGAAAAATAAATGGTCCTTGCCTTCAAGCAGATTTGAAATTCTCTCACAAGAGGAATTTCAGTATCCAACCCTTCTGTATTTGAAGATACCCATCGTATTTAGGCAGAATTAGGTGATTTAAAACTCCAAAGTTACTGTGGTAACAGGAGGAAGATCTGACTTCTTGATTGAAGTTCATCAGCAGGAGATTCTTTTCATTCTCCTTGTCATGGTGCTATAGTGAATCTGGGCAAGTTATTTAATGTATGGGAGTTAGGCTCGGGGGGAAGTTACTGAACATCAGTGGGATTTTGGTATCTCAATTATATACAAATTTTTGTGATGTGTATCCTAGCTGTCATGAATCTTAGTTCATTCATATCAATGACAAAATACATAGTAGTCAGGCAATTATTTATTATTAATTACTACAGATTAATTCATCTCCTGGTAGAGGACCATGAAATTCAATGGAAGAAAGCTTCATGCTAATTATACTTAAGACAGCTTTATACCAACAGTATTTATTCAAGGAAAAAAGTTCTGAAGACAGTATAAAAACAGACTGTAGGCTTACCTGTGAAAACTGTCGATTGTGGAAGTAGATATTTGCTGCATTGAAATAGGCTAATGCATAATTTGGGTCGACAGAAATTGCTTGTTGATAGTCTTTCATGGCACAGGGTAGATATCCCATTAACTGATTGATGACACCCCGATTTGTTAGCAGCGGAGCAGTGGTAGTGAGCTGAAAGGAAAACCTAGATGCATTCTTACTCAGGGAAAGTTTACACTTCTACAGTAATTTATTCTGGTTTTCAAAGATACATTTACTTTAAAAAAAAAAATTGAATTGCACCTTCTAATCCAAATTGGCAACTATTAATGTACAGTACTGGATGGCTTCATAGCAACAGGTTGATTTTAGTAAAATCACTTTAAGCTAACATCTACCTTTAGTGCAGCATTTGTATCTTGAAAAGCAGCAAAAGTTTCACCCATCTGAAGACAGACTGAAGCTCGTCCATCATATGCAGCATGGCATTTTGGATCAATGCAAATGGCAACTGTAAGTTGGCTCCATGCTCTCTGAAGCTTTCCAAGGGCCTAAAATGAATTGCAATGTGTCCACAATAAGAAACATAAGAAATGCCAAACATACTAATGGTCCCACTTAAATAATTACAGCAGAGAATGGAAGCATGCTTATATTTACAAATGCAGTTAACTAAATTACAGAAAAAATGAATTCAAATATCTTGTTAATTATGCAATACTCATTGCCTTTGCAACTATGTAATGTGTCTGTCACATCTGTTTTAACTGCAAGTATTACCTCTTCTACATCATAGAATCACAGAATGGTTGAGTTTGGAAGGGATCTCTGGAGATCGTCTAGGCCAACCCCCTGCTCATAGCAGGGTCAGCTGGAGCAGGTTGCCTAGCACCATGTACAGTTAGATTTTTAATATCTTCAAGGATGGAGACTCAACAACCTCTGTGCACAAGCTGTTCCAGTGTTTGATCATCCTCACAGTAAAAAAAAAAAGTTTTCTGATGTTTAAATGGCTTTCCTGTATTTCAGTTTGTGCCCATTGCCTCCTTTCCTGTCACTGTGCATCATTAAGAAGAGCCTGGCTCCACTTTATTTATACTCCTTCATTAGATATTTATACCTATTTATAAGATTCCCCCTTAAGCCTTCATCTCTCTTTCCCTTCTATTTGTATGACAGATGCTTCAGGCCCTTAATCATCTTAGTGGCCCTTCGCTAGATTCCCCCTTAAGCCTTCATCTCTCTTTCCCTTCTATTTGTATGACAGATGCTTCAGGCCCTTAATCATCTCAGTGGCCCTTCGCTGGATGAGCGCCAGTATGTTCATGTCTCTCTTGTACTGGAATGCCCAGAACTGGACACAGTACTCCAGATGTGGCCTCACCAGTACTGAGTAGAGGAGAAGGATCATCTCCCTCGACCTTCTGGCAATGTTGCTCCTAACACAGCCCAGAGTATCATTGGCCTTCTTTACTGCAAGGACACATCACTGACAACTTCAGCTTGTTGTCCATCAGGACCCCCAAGTCCTTTTCTGCAAAGCTGCTTTTCAGCCAGTCAGCTCCCAGCTTGTAGTGGTGCACGACATTATTCCTCCCTAGATGCAGAACTTCTCGCTTTCCTTTGTTGTACATCATGAGGTTCCTGTTTGCCATTTCTCCAGGCTGTGCAGCCCATCATCCCTCTAAATGGCAGCATAACCATGTGGTGTATCAATCACTCCTCCCAGTTTTGTATCATTTGCAAACTTGCTGAAGGTGCACTCTACTCCATCATCCAGGTCATTAATTAAGATGTTAAACAGTATTGGACCCGTTACTGACCCCTGAGTGTAGTACACTGGACTTTATGGCAATAATAATGAACCTTTGACCCTGACAGTTCAACCAGTTTTCATTTCACCTCATTGTCTACTTATCTAGACCATACTTCACCAGGTTTTCTATGAAGACCTTATGAAAGACTACTGAAAGCTTTGCTAAAGTTGAGATAGACAACATTCACTGCTCCCCCCTCATTCATCAAGCTAGTCATCTCATCATAGAAGGCTAACAGGTTGATAAAGCATAATTCCTCCTTCATAAACTCATGCGGGCTACTCCAATCACCTTCTTGTCCTTCATGTGTTTAAAAATAGTTTCAAGAATTATTTGCTTCATCACCCTTCCAGGGACTGAAGTGAGGCTGACGTGCCTGTAGTTCCCCAAATCCTACTTCTTGCCATTCTTGAAGATAGGAGTGACATTTACTTTTTTCTGGTCTTCAGGAACCTCTACCAATTGCTATGACCTTTCAAAGATAATTGAAAGTGGCCTTACAGTGATGTTGGCTAACTCCTCAGCACTTATGGGTGTATTTCATTAGGTCCCATGGACTTGTGTATGTCCATTTTGTTTAAATGTTCCCTAACCTGATCCTCCTCCACCAAGGGTAAGTTTTCCTTGCTCTGGACTTTTCCACTGGTCACAGGGACTTGGGATTCCAGAAAGCCAGTCTTACCAGTAAAGACCAAGGTGAAGAAGGCATTGAGTACTTCTGCATGTCCTTTGTCACCGCATCCCTAGTCACATTCAGCAGCAGGCCCATATTTTCCCTAATTTTCCTTTTTCTACTGATGTACTTGTAGAAGCCTTTCTTGTTGACCTTCATGTCCCTCACCAGATTCAACTCTTGATGGGCTATATATGAGCTTGTGACCTGAAGACTTATATATTGGACTTCACATAGCAATAAAATTAAACCACTAGGTTGTTCAGCAAAAGTACCTCCCCTGGATGGTCAAATGGAACTCTCGTATACTGTACTTTTTGAAGGACTTAGCACAGTCAAGAAAGTACTTAATTCTGGGCAAGTAGGCCACTTGGGACCACAGGCGAAATGTAAACATTTTACCTAATATACATATTAATTAAGCAAAGCTGGAGGGCAAGTCATCTAGTTCCCCACATCAAAATACTTCTCCACATGAGTCTATGTTTAAGCCCCAAAAGGTATAATAAGGCCTAAGAGAAGGCATCTAGTGAGATTTAGGCCTCTCAGAAATTAAGCACCTGCCACTATGTGAACTTTCTGGGTTGCCTCCTGTACCTAAGATGTCTAATTTCTACCTATGTCTTATTCCTGCTTACTCACCAATGTAGTCACTCCAGGTTTTTCTCTTGCACAGTACTTCCCAAAGCACTGTGAAAGCATTAGTTAGAATTTAAGTGAATTGGCAAAGCTGTAAAAGGAAATTTGCGTGACACCTGTGCAAGACTACCTGACACAGGCTACTAACATTTACATCGGCAAAAAATAATTCACAACAAGATTCATGACAATTCAAGACATTTCAGACAACTGGATACAACAGAGCACAGTAACTAAATGACAGAAATTAGACACAGACAAAAACTGTCAAGTCATATCATATATGCCTTTGCTAATATAGAAGTTCATTTTCTATGTACGTAAGTAGTTTTTAGAGATGATTATATATAAGGCCTTTACCAAGGGATTTTAGCAGATTTGCTAACAGTGTAGTTTGGATAATTAGGACATACAAGATTTTGTTTTACACAGATTTGTCAACACTTTGGCTGCTTTTTACTTCAGTAAACAGCTCATACACACAAAACATGCCAGTTCTTAATGTTAGTTTATCAGAAAAACATATAAGCAAATCAAACGAGTGTAAGGTTACTTGATATTCCATTATTCAAGAACAGAACTCCAACAAGATTGCACACAAAAGTGAAAAGAAAACAATGGTCTATCCATTTACTTAAAAAGAAAGAAGATGCCATAAGGCTTGTCTAAAGTACATGGATTATTTTATGTTTATTATGATTATTTTATGTATTATATAAATGTATGCATATAAGATTGATGTTATTTTGTTTGATTAAACATAGCATTGACAATGAATTTTGGTGTGTTACCTGCAAGTTGTATCCTAAGCAAATTCTGGCTTTTATACACTTTGGATTCAGGTGAATTGCTCTCAAGAAATCTTTCTGTGCTTGTTTACAACCAGCCTCATGTCCATTTTCCATGTACGAATTTCCTCGTCCAACGTAGGCATCCACAGAAACAGGATCTAGTTTGAGAACCTGGTCAAATGATCTTACAGCTTCTTCAAACTCATGAAGTCTAAAAATAGAGATATTCATGTTTGCTGTTTAAAAATGCTGTAAATAAAATTCTCAATTTATGAATGATCAGCAAATACTACCCTATAATGCCCATTGAAAGTAGTTCAATTCTGACTGAAAAGGACACTTTTTTTTTCGCTTAGGTTTGCTTTCTGTATGTGCTTCACTGTTATAACAGTGAAGGTAGTCAGTGTAAGACCTTGCAGACTTCAGTTTGAGTTTCTTGGCCTGAGGAAGGAAACAGCAAAACTCTCATTAACTTTTGCTGGGCCAAAGATTTCTCCTTTTCAACAGTTGTACTCAACAGAGAGACTTCATCTGAGTCACTCGTGCTGTCCAAATCTCATGACCAAACATGGTTTTGGTAGTCTGTTCAGGCACAGATGTTTCAGCCATAAATAATTTATTTCTAATACATGCCTTCTCTACAAGAATCTCCTAGCAATTCTTGAACTTATCCAAACTTGCAGGGTAAAAAGAGACAATATTCAGGGTTCTAAGCATAGACCATTCTGGTCTAAGAGTAAGCCAAATGTGGAACTCCATCCTGAGATAAAACTTGACGCATTTGAGATATACTGAATAGGAATAAAAAGGATTAAACACCTGAAATGTCAATGAATGCTAATAAGTATCTTTACACATAAGGCAAAAACTTTAACATGTCAAAGTACAAAATCATTTTACCAGGATGATACTGAAAAATAACATATAGTTTGAATATAAGCTACCTGAAGGTAGACACATCTACCTGAAGAACAGCCTGACTTCTTTACCAAAAGAGGAAAGATTAAATATATTTAGCTAACAAATAACTTTAAGGGTTATAAACCAAATGCTTTTTAAAAGCACAACACATTGCAAAAACAAATTAGAGCTCCATTCCAATCCTGTTGATAGGCAGTCACGAGGTTAGAGACTGCAGGATGGATCCCAAATGCATCTTAAAAAGGGTTATACAGCTGAGTTATATAGTTACTAGTGACTCCTCTTGACAGCTGAATACAGACACAGGCACCAAAATCATATGCTCAGTTCTTAGAAGCAGGATTCAGCATTCCCGTGTGAGCTCCACATCATCCAAACACTGTGAAAGATGGAGGCAGTTATGCCCTAACTACAAGCATAGCAACACAAGAAGTTCTGATGCTACAGTCCTGAATATGTCCACCTCCACACTGCCTCAGCAGCAACAAGGTTAAGCAGTGATAGATGGCAGAGTAACTGTAGAATAAAATAGATTAGACCAGACTAATAGGCAGAGAGCTATTAAAATTTCCTTTTTATCATAGGTGATATTTGTGTGAAATAGGAGCTATTAACTCCAAGTGCCACTATGATAAGTAGACTAAGATACTAACGTACATCTTATTTATTCCAATTTATATCTATTTTAAGTGGTTAACAGATTTAATTTAGTCTTTCTAAATAAATCTCATCTTGATGAAACTACACTTCAGAATTTCCAAATAAAAAATTCAGGCAAGGAAGACCATTGAGGCTTTTGCTTTTCTTTAAAGGACAAATCGCATATTTAAACAGAAATTGCATCCTAATTAATTCTGAACAAACCAACCCAACTCTGTTTATCTCGTAATTCTTTGTTCTTCAGACCTTCTCTTGGTTCTATTTTATCATCCTAGTATTTCCTCCTGATGCTGTCATGAACACATAGTTACTTGATACCAAAAGATTTTAATACCAGTTGTTAAACTTGAAAAATATCTAACTTGCTTTTTTCCATTCCTCTTTACCATTTTCCCCTCCCCCAGTTCTCAGTGTACTCAATATGAAAAGGTGAACAGGAATATAAAGCTCAGGAATTATTTCGTTTTTCTACTCTCCATAAAACAAAACTACATATCTTACCTATGATAGCAGATTCCAATAGCCTGAAAGATCTGGCTATCATCTGGACTAAGCAACGTTGCTTCTTTAAAGTCCTGAAAAGAACAGACGTTAAACCATGCAAATCGATAGTTTCGCTTCACCTACAACTGTGGGTTTAGCTAAACAATTTTATACTTCTATATAAAAAGGGAGATGACTTCTGACAAAGGCATTATATGCTCAGAAGTACTGGAGATGTATTTAACTGTTTTCATACTTCTTGTCCCAGACTTTGATAGAACAAAATCTCTAAAGTTATGTGGTATCATGGTATTTCCTACAAAGCTGGAGGCAACATTTCCAGAAACAAAGTCTTCCAGAAAGGTATTTTTTGTTTGTTTTTAATAGAAATACTGTACCTCAGCTGCTATTATTAAATACATATATATTGAAAATATATTTTGCTATATGCAATTTCAATAGAATTCTTCCAGTAATAAAATTATTTAGTTACTTTCTGTTATTACTTTGACAAGTGCAGTAAACCAAACTCATATTTGCATTGGGAGATTCTATTCACAGTGTTCCAGTGAAAGATGCCATAGGGCTTTTGTCTTTTGCCTTTTACTAACATTCAGAACATTTTTCAAAACACTTGTGGTTTTGATATATGTGGTTCAATTGTAAAAACTTTACAGGTGTGGTTCAATTGTAAAAACCATACAGGTGCTTTTAAAATCAAATACAATCATTTCAATTATGATGTGAGGAAGCACTTTAGGCTTCTGCATAGGAAAGCAATCAGTATGTAGTAGGAGTGGTTTAGCTGATGCATCCACTGAACTAGAACTTAGAAAGCATTTTTTACTTGTCCAAATTGTAAAAATAAAAAGATGTGGAAGATTTTAGTACTGTTGGAATTACAAAAGTGGCAAAATAATGATGTGCAGATATATATATATTTATATTTTGTTAAAATAAAACCTCTCTTTTGGTGAACACACTTTCATAAAATTATAGGTCTGTTTTTAAAAAACTACTGAGACACACTGTTCCCATCCAGCAAAGCCTTTCAAAGAATACCCAGCAAAGCTAATGGGATTCTTCATGTGCACAATTTGAAGTATACACTCTGTGCTGTGTATGGAGTGGAGCAAAAGCAGGATCAAAGTTCCAAGAACCAGGTTTGGTTTACTTAAACCAAAGGTGCTATCCTCACAGGTAACCACACACTTCACTGAACCAACAGGAAAAGACACCTCTATATAGCAATTCAGACCTTATAGACACTGAATTGTAACTTTTCCTTTTTCTTCCAGTGTACACAATTCAGGAATACATTCACTTCAAGTAGTATGTATCCGTGCTTAAGTAATTATATCCTAATTCAACCAGCACTATACATGTATACAGATATACTCCTTGTAATAAAATACTATCAGAACTGATACATAAGAAGGTCTTAAACATATTTATAATCACTGATGTTTTTCTTAAATTAGCTGCTATATTTTTGTGTCTGTTGTTCAATTACCATTTTGTAAATTTGTCTTCGCTACAATCCATTCAAAGAACTTTTTGCTCATCCTGCTGGCTCTGCCCCAGTCTCTTTCTACCGTCCTTACATATCAGTTTGTACCACCTTAGCCTCTTTTCTGAACTATTCTGATCAATTGCATCTTGAAGCATGAGACCAATAACACAATATTTCTACTTAAATTATTTCTATGCAGGGTCTACCAACTGTAAAGAGCTTTTGTTGTGCACTTCCAATAGGACATTTCTGGGTCATTGGAATGGTATTCACATTCATTCTTCATTTTTTATTTGCAAATAAGAAATATTACTCAATTTTTAGAATGCCTATTCCGAAATTGTTGCTATCACATAAAGAAGATGATAAAATATTTTAAAGTTACTAGTCCACAATGGAAGCAATGAATGCACCAGTTATACTGAAACTAAATACCTCTGCTTTTAAAAAAAACTAAAACTTTTAGAAAACTATAAAACTATTTAAAATTCAAAAATGAAAACCTGTGTGTGTGAAACAGTAATGTTTAACACTGTTAGGTTTCAAGCCTGCTATTGCTATACCAGATGGAGTCCCATGGAATGAGCGAGTCATCTGCACTGTGAGTCAGTGTCAGAAACACATATTATTTTCTTATATTTAAGAAAATTATCTTGAGGTCGGACCCTTCCTGCCCTTTCAACAAAAATGGTCATTTACACACACATGCATGCACACAGAGAGGAACAGAACAAGGCCACTCAATCAGAACCTCCATTTACTTAGGCTTCTGCAATGAATTAGTACTCATTTGGACCCAACATAAATTACTTCAAGATTAAAAAAGAAGGAAGAATCAGGTTCTTGCTTATTAAATTTTGTTTAACTCCAACAGCATAAAACTGTAAAACAAGTAAAACTGCATTTTATTTGCATCTTCACAACCAGACTGGCATTAGGTGTTGAGCAAATGAGAACTGGGCACAAACTTTTTCAGAATAATATAAAAACTGTCAAGATGGTCTTTATATAAGCAATGGCTTACATTTAACAGAAAACTCTAAATTTCCTTTACTCAAAAAAGGATTTTGTACCTCACATGCATTAGCATAATCACCAAGTTCCATGTAGAGTAGTCCACGATTAATTAACACTTTAAAATCTATTTCCTTACTCAATTCAAGCAGAAGAAGAATTCCATAATCTTTCAAAGCCTACAAAAACATAAAATGATTTTAAACCCATAATTTATTCAGAGGGATACAGTGATACTTGAAAATTTAAAAGATACGCTTTCAAATTCCTACAAATCATGTGCCTATGCATGAACTTCAGTATGGCTATTCCAATGTTGCACTGTTTCCAAGTTGAATTTAACTGAATTTGGAGCCTTCTATAATTACATAGGTACCCATTCCTAGAGTACAGAAGCAAAGATAATGCAAATATAGTAAATAGATGCAATTAAAACTTATTTTGTCATTATATAAGTTTCAGAGTTAAAAATAAATCTTAATTACTTCTACTGCTAAGTTTTATGTCCAAATTCTTATTTAAAAAAACAAAAAATTATTCTAGATTAATTAGTCATGAATTAATTTCAAAGTAAGGTTCTTTCAAAATTAAGTATCTTCAAATATAATTTACTGTTACTGAAAAATCTAAGCACTAGTTGTATTAACTAAATTTGGGTGTAAATTTTGTAAAAAAGCAAATAGTGACACCACTAGATAGACTGAAGAAGCCTCAGTTCTCAAATTTATCAAAACTGAACAGCATTTCAACAATGCTTGATCTGAAGAAGTTCTAGCCCAACTCTTTTTTCACCTAAAGAATGAACTTATATACTATACTTAAGAATAACTAGTCAGTTATCCTGGTTTCGGCAAGGATAGAATTAATTTTCTTCCTAGTACCTGGTATGGTGCTGTGTTTTGGATTTAGGATGAGAATAATGTTGATAACACACTGACGTTTTAGTTGTTGCTAAGTGGTGCTTACACTAGTCAAGGACCCATCCCTGGAGGTATTTAAAAGACAAGTAGATGAGGCACTTCAGGACATGGTTTAGTGGGTGGTGGTGTTGGGTCGATGGTTGGACTCGATGATCTTAGAGGTCTTTTCCAACCTCAATGATTCTATGATTCTATGACTTTTCGGGGTGCACAAGAAGCTGGGAGGGGGCACAGCCAGGACAGCTGACCCAAACTGGCCAAAGGGATATTCCATACCATGTGACATCATGCTCAGTACATAAACTGGGAGAAAGCTGGCCAGGGGGGCTGCTGCTGGGGGACTGGCTGAGCATCAGTTGGCAGGTGGTGAGCAATTGCATTGTGCATCACTTGCTTTGTATATTATTATTATTATATTTCAATTATTAAACTGTTTTTATCTCAACCCATGAGTTTTCTCACTTCTACTCTTCAATTCTCTCCCCCATCCCACCGGGGAGGGGGGGAGTGAGTGAGCGGCTGTGTGGTGCTCAGTTGCTGACTGAGGTTAAACCACGACATCAGTTTAGAGCTAGTATGACAAAAACATCCTTGATTGCAGTACTCCATAAGCTAGCCACTTAAGAGAAGTTCTATTCTTCACTTCTAAACTAAGCTAGATGTTAGAAACAGCTTTAAAGAAAACAATCCAGTTCTTATTAGATCTAGTAAATTTCTTCCGTCAATAATATACTACATTTTTCTGCAACTTCCCTTGTACTTTAAGTGGCTTTTCTGAAGAGTGATAGTAAAGAACAACTTTTATAATACCTTATTTATGAAGGAACTATCATTTTCACATCTTAGACTTTTACCTTCAGTTACTGTAATCACCTATTTTTCTTTATCCATCTGCATCATTCTTTGCCAATTAATCTCTAAGCACAAATGGCCTTTGCCCAAGGTCGATTTGACTTGAGACATCCAAGCTCAAATACTTAGTAACTAGCCCTGTCTCAGAAAATAGGCCTCATCAAAAAGACAGTTTGACGTGATTGTGTTCCCAGTCTGAAGCTGCATGGTGCCTTTGTGTGCCCTGTTGTACCTTTGCTTTGTAACAAAGGTAGAAAGCAGAAACACTCAGAGGCAGCTCACAGGCAAGTTGACAGAAGTATACTCACATCCAGAAGAACAGGGCTGTGAATGAGGGCTGGGTGTAGCCCAAATCCCTGTTTTGATGTAGTCGTCTTCTGGATATCATTCTTATATTTTCAAAGAGATATCAAATGTAATTAATATGGTAAAAAAATGACCTTTTGGTCTTTACTAAAACAATTTCCTGGAGAGCACAATCATTCAGGAAGACATTGCAAGAGGTCAGAAATTTTGACTAATTGTCAATAACAGGTTACTAGCTAATATAAACTGAGTGCTCATGTGATGTTGAAAAAAAATTAATACCATACCTTTCTGAAGTCCTTTATTTGATGATAACAGATGGCTCTGTTATAATATGCCAAAATGCAGGTTTTGTTGAGGTCAATACTTTTTGAAAGATCTTCAATTGCAGCTCTAAATGTCTACAAATGAAAAAACACTATGTATAAATTGTAATCCAGAGTTCGTGGCGCTACATATTCTTCCTGAAATAATAGCCTATTTTAAAATTTTATTTCATAGTTTTACATTTTGGTTCTTCATCAGTACTGTGAGGCATCCAACAATTTCACTGTGTCCTCTATGGACTACTTACTGCAGTCCTTACTGCAGCGGGGGGACTTCTTCAGAAGCTCTATTTGTGCAAAGACTGGGCAAACAAACATTCTTAGTGTTTTGTTACATCACATCCATATACTGCAACACATAATCAATCCTTAATTATACTAGCTTACATTTTATCTCTTAACCTAACATAGAAGGTATCTTTTGTGGAGTTTTGGTACTTCTGTCTATCACTAGGTAAGAATCTATTCTGTGGAGCTTAAAAGGAGAATAACCAGATAGATGCTCAGTAGCTTCTCCAACCCATCAATCATTTTCAGTTACATAGAACAAGCAGAGAGTAGCTTCAATGGGGAATGGAAAGTGTAATAATCAAGTGGAATTCCTGGTTTCCATCAGCAACACTTTTACCATTATTTCACCATTCTAAAGTGTAAAGTAAGATACATTAAGTTTTAAGGGAGAATGCAAAAGTACAACAATAAAGACAGTCCCACCTTATTTTGATACTTTAAAGTACCTCGGTAAAAATAAGCTCGCACACTGTTAGGAAGAATTTTGATTGCCTCATTGCAATTCAGAATTGCCTTAGAGTATCTACCTTTACTTCCGTAGTAAGCAGCACGACTCATATATGCCTGTAGAGATGAAGACAGAATGATGACATGGTAAAAAACCAGTTTTGTTTAGCATTATAAAAAAAAGGGTTAAATAGAAGACAGAAATCACAAGTTTATAAAAACTTACATCATACGAAGCTTGTAATTTCTTTTATTTAATGCTTGCCATGTGCTTGCTGGCAGATTACAAGGCAATACACCCATAAATGCAAAACCTGTCAGTCTTTGAACCCATCCAAAAATGCCTCACAGAAACAAACTATCAGGAGTCTTTATATTACCTGGAAATGTGATGGACAAAGGGCAAGTGCTCGATTGAAATCTCGGATGCACTTAGCTTGTCTGAGCTGCATTCTACACAGCCCTCGCTGATAAAAAGCATCAGGGTAACTTGAATGTAGTCTGATAGCCATACTAAAAGCATCACGGGCCTAAAAGGATGACATATCATCTGGGTTAAATATGGTCTGTTTGTTCAGCTGAAACCATAGGCTAACTGATTCTTTTCTACAGCTAGGTATTACCTATTTTTGCAGTTGGAACCCACCATGTACCTGCATTGGTTTTTTTATCACTTTCATCCATTTACTGCTACTTAAAATTCTGTAATGTTTAACACCCTACCTAATGCAATCATAACCACAAGGAGGCACAATCTAACTCATTTAATAATCTCATTTCTTCAGTGAGACTGCAAAAGTTTACCAAGCACATGGTCTTCTGTCTGTAAGAGCTGAAATAGTGAAGTTGTTTATTATAATGGACAATGGATTAACATGGCTAGTACGCAACTCCTTTAAAATCCATCCAGATAGTTTTTTCCTCTACATTGTACATTAGCTTACAAAGTCATGGGCTTTTCCAGGATCTACAGCTGTAATATCAGATGTACATTGACACAGAAAGTCACCTTTGGCAGCTGTCATGTATTACCACATTAGATATTTTAGACAATTTTGACAGCCTTCTTCCAAAAGAACATCACTTTTGAAAACTGGGGTTGGAAGCAGAAAAGGCAAGAAATTGTTCCCTTCCTGTGAAATTCTGATATTTCAAGTATTCTAGTTTCTGTCTTGAGCCTTTTAGCAAATCAACAACTGAAACATATTTATTCATTTATTTATTATTTATTTATTAAAATATCAACATAGAAAACATTTGCATGAACTCACACTAGGCCTGCCACAAAGCTCACCGATAGGCTTTCAATAGTTTTCAACAAAGAAGTCTCTAATGCAGTATAAAGTATTGATTTTGTTGAAAGAAGGAAAATACATTTTTCTTAGGCAACGCAGTTTATTTCTTAAGTATCATACATAAGTGCCAAGGAGAACCAGCTAGGGGTGTTATGAGCTACAGTAATATAGAAAACAGCTGAATTACAACAAACTCCATAATACAATAATCTAGGAATTTGTCCAAGTTTACTACCAATTCACTAAGCCACTGATACTCCTACCTGAGTGTTGTTTGTCTATAAGATCTGTGAAGGCATTGATAAATAGATAAGAAATTCATGTAGTTTATTTCATCAGAATGGCAATTAATGACATACATTAAAAAAATCTTAACATTAGCACTGGAAAAATGACTCAAACTTGCAAGACAGTCTAATGTACATCATTAATTCAAAAGAAAATTGCTAAAGGCAGTGGGGGCTGTTTAAAAGATTGAAATCATTCACTCAGTTATCACAGTTGTTGTTTACAAGCTGTGGAGTCAAGGGCTAACATATTCTATACAATTAATACCAACCCGTAATAAACTTTTTTGCTCCATGTAACACAGGCCTGTGAGATAATACATTTCTGCAGCCTCAAATGTATTAGGCAGGATTTTTGTGGAGGTCATAAGGAGCTTCATAGCTTTTTTAAAACTTCTCAGAGCATCCTGCAATACAGAGAACAGTAATACTTTTAAAGCACTTAACTGAAAATCTGCAAGATTTGTTAGACATTTTAAATTATTTTCAAATGGTTTTTTCTTGGTCTTTCTTTGGAACATTATGGTAAAAATGACTAGTCTAGTGTTCCTTGATGTTGCTGGAGTTAGACACACTCTTGATCTCTGAATGGTTCATATTAATAACTAATTAGAAAAACAGAGAAAATATTCCTGAGTTTTATTTATATATGACAAAGTAACTAATGTACATGATCTAGAAATAACATACAGTTCACTTATACTGTTATTTAGGTACGTAGTTAATTATAATTATTTATTAATTTTATTTATATTCATTTCCTCAGGAAGAAAAGGCATACTTTTTGATGGAGTCTGACAATAATGAAGTACTTCCTACAGGTTTCTTTGTGTAAATAACGACAAACTATTTATTCCATAGACAACTTACTAAATTTAATAACCATTAAGAAATATATTGAAAAGATCAATCCTGTATAGGCATTGAAGGAACTTAAGTGAATAGCCTCTGTCGTGGTTTAACCTCAGTCGGCAACTGAGCACCACACAGCCGCTCACTCACTCCCCGCCCCCCGGTGGGATGGGGAGAGAATTGAAGAATAGAAGTGAGAAAACTCGTGGGTTGAGATAAAAACAGTTTAATAATTGAAATAAAATAAAATAGTAATAATAACAATAATAATTCTTGTGCACCTCCAGCCTTCTCAGTCGGTAGAGCATGGGAAGCTGAAAAGTCCTTGACTAGTGTAAGCACTGCTTAGCAACAACTAAAACATCGGTGTGTTATCAATGTTATTCTCATGCTAAATCCAAAACACAGCATTGTACCAGCTACTAGGAAGGAAATCAACTCTATCCCTGCCAAAACCAGGACAGCCTCTCAGAATCTTACCATGTATCATAGATCTGGGCAATAATTTATGCATATTTAATAATGCTTTGGTTTAAAAGAGAGTGTAAGGAAAACAACCAAAAAATTAACAGTTCAAGATAAGCCATTCCTCAGCCTTTGAGGATTATGAAGGGACCACAGTTGAAAGTTTCAATATCAAGAAGAGTAAAAGAATTTTGTCCTGGTTTCATCTGGGACAGAGTTCATTTTCTTCCTAGTAACTGGTACAGTGCTGTGCTTTGGATTTAGCATGAGAATAACGTTGATAACACACCGATGTTTTAGTTGTTGCTAAGTAGTGCTTACACTAGTCAAGGACTTTTCAGCTTCCCATGCTCTACCGACTGAGAAGGCTGGAGGTGCGCAAGAAGCCAGGAGGGGGCACAGCCAGGACAGCTGACCCAAACTGGCCAAAGGGACATTCCTTACCATGCGACGTCATGCTCAGTGTATAAACTGGGGGAAAGCTGGCCGGGGGGGCCGCTGCTC